TTGAGCGTTTTGGCCGGTTCTTGATCCTTTTTCACCGCTGCTTCAGTGGTGGTGTTCTTGGGTGCGGCTACCTTCAAGCGTATGATCTGGCGCCGTTTTCTCTCAACCGGCATAACAGGGACAGCTACCTCGTCCGCGATATTTGGTTTTTGGGTCGAGAGGACAGGAATAATGTCGGTGTTTCTGACAGAGTGCGCCGCCATGGAACTACTGCCACTTGCAAGTGCATCGACATCCTTTCTCTCTCCGTCTGTGGTGCTGGGTGCACGAACATTCACCGGTGCTTCAATATTGGCGATGTTGAAAGTCGGCGGTACCTTGAAGCGAAAAACGAGGGGTCCTCTTCCTGGTAGCGCAGCCTTTTGTGTTCCGAAAGGAACAACACAGTGATCAGAAGGGTCGCCGAAGCTGTGAGGGTGGAATCCGAAAACAGGGCCAGCCATATTTGATGGGTAGAACTGTAGAAGCAGAAAATTTAGGTTTGGATGATGATTGAGGCAAGAAATTAGGAGAGAAAGGAAGTATTACACAAGATGGAGATTAGGGTTTTAATCATAGAAATATATATTAAGTGAATTGATTTAATCCTGAATGAACTAGGAGTACCAATACTGAATGAATTAAGAGTACTAATGTTGTTCGGATTATTTGAACAAAAGTAACAAAAGCACTGATTTTCTTTGGAAGCAAGTAAACCCACTTCTGAACAAACTGTGTAATCGTCATCTTCATCCTCATCCTCTTCCTCTAGTATGAGACCTCAATTCTTCTGGTCAAATTCATGCCTTTAAGCTTGTTCCTAAGGTATCCTCTTTTGGAGCCCTTCACTTGTAAAGAAGGGGCAGAAATGCAGCGTTTTGGATTTACCCTGTGGACACTTCTAGTGGTAGGCTTCGTCTTTCAGTGTTTAATAGTTCACCATTCCTGGGAGTCACCTCCCAGAGGCTCTTTTACGTTCTGAAAGTGCTCCAGTGAGCATACCTGGTCCAAAGCTTGCTAGTTCCCCTGCATTGTCCAACAGGCAAAATTTGCTCCCATCACTTCCCCAGAAGCTTACAAAGCCCAATACTTCGAAGCCTGATAATACTGTTGGTCCAGTTCAAATTGGTGTAACACTTGATAAGGGATTTTATTTTCTCAGCGTTGTTATCTTGCAGTTTAAGGATTTCTTTTTGTCTGCTATAGCTATTGTCTTTTGGGAGAGAAGATGGTAGAAAAAGCATCTGGGGGGAAGACATCTTCCAACAGCTCACCGTGGATTTCATTTTTGTGGGGTTCTAGTAGCAAGGTCCTTCCAAGAAGATTTTAATAACACCTCCTTGCCCTTTTGAGGTGGATGATGATGATATCACAGATCCAAAGCAGCGGTGATACGTAGAAATCATCTAGTAAATTCTACTTCTCAGTTACTTTAATCAAATAATTTATTGATGCCACAATGTGTTTCTGTAGCATCTTGCTTTCCACTAGCTAGGGATTTTGCTACCTTTTCTGCAGTTAAACCATTCCAAATAATAATCTGTGCATTGCATCATAGATTTGAGAGGGAGACAAGAGTAGAAAGAAGTGTGTATGGTGTTGCATTATAGTGTATGAAATGAACAAACCTCATTGCTTAATTGGTTCTTCTATGGATAGTATAAATTTGTCAGTATCATTGAAAAGAGCCTACAGAAAATTTATTGAGTCAACATAGAGATTTTGTAATATAATAAGAAAAGAAATTTTGGATTGCCCGCATTTTGGCAGAAAGATTGAGGGGATCTAAAGTAAATAGCAAAAAATGAAGCAGTCCTCTCAGATTTTTGAAGGATCAAAGGAATCATTGACTGAATATTTTCTTCCTTCATCTTATTTCTATTTACTGAT